GGTTTGCTGAATTATCAAAAGAATGAATGTCAAAAATGGTCTATGATGTATAGTGTGTAGTAAGGTTTAGAGAGTTCACAGGACATTACATTCTGATTCATAACAGCAGCAAAATTACAGTTATGAAGTAGCAATGAAAATAACCTTTTGGTTGGAATTCATCACAATATGAAGAGTTGTATTAAGTGGTCATAGCATTAGTAAGGTTGAGAACCACTGATTTAAAGCAATGGGTAAATTATAAATTTTGAGGACTAGAAGGCCCTTTGCATCAGAGAATGCATTAACATGTATGCTGTGCTAAAGAATGTGCACCTAAGAAGCTGGATAAAGTGGGGTTCAGGGAACCATTACAGACTTGATGGAAGACTCAAAAAGGGATCAAAGAGTAAGTATATTGTACATGTATATGTATGTATGTATGTATATATATATATATTTCAATTGTAGTTAAATAAGAGGGCAGTGAGCGAGTTTATGTGATGGAATAAAATGATTGCTCTGCCAACCTTCAATAAGCTTCTTTCCTGGACTCTCAGAAGAAATTTTGGAATCTTTTTTTTCTGTGATAATAACTGATTGTTTTTTTAAGTAGATATAATTTCAGGACTATGGACTAGGAACTGTACTGAGGGCTCATATCCATATTAGGTCATTTAGTTCTACAACAGAGCTAAGGGGTATGTGGTACATTTGTAGTTTCCCAGAATACTCAAGGTGCCACGGTTGACAGAGAGTAGGCCCTGTATTGAGGGCCAGAATTGGAACTAAGCCTTGCTATTGCCAAACATAGTGCCAAATTTCAATTCACTAAAAAGGACGGTGCCATGTCAACTTCATTATTGAAAGACAATTGGAAATGGTTTCTCTGAATGTGCTTTGACCAGTGGTTTGCAAACAAGTACCATTTCAGTCTTCATTGTCTCTATGTGGGAAACCTACTGTCTGAAAACTTCATTGCAATATTTATCCATAAAATTGTTAACTCTAACATTTCCCCCCAAATATCCTGACTTGATTAAACCAGACTTCTAGACATTTGTTTAAAACGTGCCAGACAGTCTTGTGTTACTAAATGTCAGTGATATGTTTGTTAGTTGGGAATCCACTTCTCGATTATACCTAGTACCTTGAACTGACTTAGCTGTACCATTTAATAATTACTAAATTAATTGTTTTATTGTCTATCATTTGTGGTATAGAATATCCAAGGAGAGAAGGAAATTATTACACAGAGAATAATTACATAATCAAATAATAACATGGAAGAGGCTAATATGAAGAGTCCTCTCTATATCAAACAAAGGTAAAGATCTTTATGTTAGTTTAGGTGGAAGTTTCAAAAACCTAAAAATTGTACATTGCATAATTAAGTCATTGAGTTTTAATGCTTTTATTTATTTATTTATTTATTTATTTATTTTTACAGATGAGAAATCTCAGCGCACCTGTGAATTTCAGCCACGTGTATGCAGTAATCCATCTAGGACACCAACCAACTCCACTGAAACTTAGATCCCATGTGTTGGTCATGGACTTCCAGGCTAGTGCAATGTGACCATCAACATGGCTGGGACGGTATCAGCCAAGTTTCTCTTAAGCTATTTGTGGTTTTGTTCTTTCGTCTTTAAAGTCGATTAAGAACACATAGATGAAAGCAACAGAGCACCTGGCACATCATGGACACTGATGAGTCATTTCTTTACTAAGTCAATTATCTGAGATGATAACTATATAAAAAAGAACTTCATATAATTTACTACTGCCGAGCCTGATTTCATCCCATCCCCAAGATAGTCAACAGTATAACTATCCTACTAATGAAAGCTGAAAGCTCATAATGATACCATCATTTTAAAACTTCATTGAGGTCAGTGATTTAGCTAAATAAAAATTGGGGGGGGGGGTCATGGTGAAAAACAGGGTACAGCATTGACTACCCAGTTGTCAAAGTAAAGTGTGTATCTAGAGTTCCATAGATGTGAGAAAAGTACAACCATATTGAGTAAATGAAGACCTGACAGAGGGAAACTGTAGGATGAAACTCTAAAAAGTAAAACAATCATTCAACTTTCACTATAGAATTCGGTGAGCTTTTTGCTTTTTTTTTTTTTGTTTGTTTAGTTGTTTTTCACTATGGTGGGCAGCTTAGGAAGAAAGATATTAAAAGCTTTCTCTATAAGGTTATGTCTGAATACAATTCCTGAACAACCTCCAAAGTTTCTTGACTTATGGAAAACACTTAAAGATAGCAAACATTTTTAAAAATATAGCATCCAGGAATCTTTTTTCAGAAAACAGTGCTTCTGACATCTTACCTTCTGGAACATGACTTTTCCACCTCCTTTTCCATTCTAGCAATCTAAACACAAAGTCTTCAGGTAGAGTGAAGATAATCCATCTCATAAATATGCCTCTTGGGTCATTCCGTAATTAGTAAGTGTCAGAACAGTCTCTAGAACATGTATGTGGTTCTAGCATCCTTGACTCTTAATAAAAGAAGGCTTATTTAGCTGTGTGCAAGATCTTTTACCAAATTTAAGAAAATAAAATTGCATCATAACACAGGGGTTTTGGGAAGAACATTTTATTGCTAAGCATATCCTTGAACGAAAAAAGCAAATGGGAAATAAAAGTGAAAAGGATAAAGAAAAAGCAGGAACATCACAACATCATGAAAGAAATTCCTTGAGGGTCTGCGAGGAAAACAATGAAAGCTCACATACAGAATGCACAAGTTCCCGTAAAATTGTCCAAATAGAAACTTACACGAAAAGGAATAAACAGATGAGTTTTTACTCAGACTTTTAAAAAAATGTAAAGAAAGAAAGCAGGAGATCATTTCACAAGACCTCAAGACTCCAAGAACAGCAATCCATCACAAACACCGAGATATAATCAACTTCATAGAGGCTGGGCCATTGATCTATAATCGTGCTTTGATATCCTTTTAAAGTTCTGTCTTTTTAATGACAACAAAAATGAGAACTCTTAACACATTGAAATCTCAGATAAGGAGGAACATCTCTTTCCATACACATCAGTAAAGGCTACCATTGTTTTAGACTGTGCCTTCTGCCCCGTGTCTTTAAGATTTTTTTTTCAAAGTCAAATATTCATGCAACTTACAAAGACCAGCAAGAGTAGATTTCTAAATCTAGACGGCTGATTGGTTTTCATCTGTACAAAAGAAATCGTATTTATGTCTGCCCCTCCAGAGGACACACTTCACCTTTATGCGAATATGTGTCTTGTTTTATCTTCTTGCTGTTTGAATGGCTATGGCCACAAAACCAGTTTACTGTTACGCTGTACATTGTTTCCTCTTTATAAAAAGGAGACAGGATGGGATACAAAGCAAACAAACAGAGAGAAAGGAAATAACAGTTCTGAAAGCGGTATGTACATACGTGACTAAGGAATTATACCAGCAAAAATGTAGTAAAATATGTAAACAAAATCTGAGAAGTTTTTGTTGTTGTTGTTTAAATTCTCTTTGACACAGTTAACTGTGACAAAACTAAAACTCACACTTTCTTCACATTTTAAGGTTCGCTTTTTTGTTGTTTTGTCATTTTTTTTCTTTTAAAATAACATTCTCATTCCACTTCAAGACTTGAACAGATTTCTGTGTCAGTCATCCCGTCAAACATACCATGATAAATATATCTGTATATATATTTATTTATATATATTATACTATTAAATTCCTTTTGTGTGTCACAGCAGCTTTATTCATTTATTTATCTGTTTTTAGAAAAGATGGGTGAAGGGCGACATGAAGGAGATGGAAAGAGATTTATTCACATCAGGCTACAAAATCAAACCGCTATGGAAACCATTATCACGTTGGGGGTGGGGAAAAGACTGACTTTCACACTTGGCCATGACATGGCTTGTTGTGAGCATTTGTGGTTGTGTTACAAGTTGGGAACTCCCCTGCAGTCTGTTGAAACAGACCTTAGTATTGTCTTTTCTTTATCTGCATGCATTTCGACCAATCACGGATCCAGTCCACCCCCTGCCCTTCCCTTGGAAAGGCTCTGCTTCCATTTGTGGGGCTTCTCTCTGCCCTTTCACACAATTTGGGTCGATGGACAGGGACAGTATTTGTTAAGTGAAACCAATAGCTCTGATAAAACCGGCCCCAAACCCGTCTGTTCGAGGTTTGAGTGGCAAACATTGAACTTAGATCTTGGGGACCCACTTTTCAAATAGATCATCATCCACCCCATAGGTTCATCAAAGCATTAGGAAACAAACAACAGATTCTAGAGATACTACAACCTGCTACGTGGAGTGAATGCCATGGTAGCTTTTGAGTTCATATGGCAAGAGTCTCATACATTTTGTTTTCTGAGTATTTTTTTTCTCTTCATATGTGCAGTCATTGTCAAAAAAATAAGTGAAAACCCAAAAGCCATTTTCCCCTCAGATCTTGAAAAGTTACACTCACATTAGCCAGAACCAGATAAAGATTATTTCTGGGTTTTTTGTATTATTTTCTTTTTGATTTTTTTAAAGCATTTTTCTTTTCTCATTTTTTTTGTTATTTTTTTACATAATTAAACAAACAAACAAAAAATAACCCAACATTGTTACAGTCAAGATTCACAAACATCATTACAGACTCACTTGCAGTTATGGAACAAGTAAGTCATATTGTCCTCTACCCCTGTCAAAAGGTCCTGGAGAGAAGGAAGCATCCAAAGTCGCATGGAGTCATGGGCTTGCTCCAGGGCGCTAAGCGTGTGCTTTATAATACAGCAGGGCAGAGAGAACTTTCTGTCTCCGAGCCATGGCTGCAACCTCGCAGCATGGCTGAACTTTACAGAGAGATACACCATCGTATGTGTCCTTTTAAAAAATGGCTTTCCCCACCATAGTCGTGGTGTACCCCGTCTCACAGAACACATCCGACAAGTTAAGTCTCATTGTCAAAGTACTCAGGTGTGTGTATATGAATCTGTTTTAAATTCACATACGAATAGGCGTTATGTTTACACATAATACTCCTTGTCTTTGTTTTTCTGTTTCTTATGGCCGCTCTTGGAGCTGGCTTGCTTCTCCTTCATGAGCGTGCCGTTGCTCTGGGCCGAGTTGCTGATGTAGTTCCTCGTCTCGTCCACTTGATAGGACCCCTCGTCCCTGTTCCTGTACTTGTACATGGCGTACAGGAGGATCAAGATGCAGAGGGCGGCAGCAGCCACAATGCCGACGACCATCCCTGTTGTACTGCTGGACTCCCGGATCACCTCTGAGGCCCCCGGAACCCGTCTGATTCCTGGCTCCGTGGGGTTTGCTGTGGGCACATTACGGAACATGGGGGAAGTGATTAGTGGGTTCTTCAGTTTGGTGCTGTCTAGCTCATAGGCAGTGGGCAACGGAAGCAAGACTATATCAGGCTGGGGTTTGAGATCACGGTTATTCATTTTGCCAGCTGGCAATTTGGGCACCATCCCAGACGAGGAGGACGCTGTGAAGCGGATCAGCTCAGGGGACAAAGATGTGGTTGTAGTTCTACTAGTTTCCGAGACTTTGTTAGGTCTAAAGTCCTTGGATTCCCACTTGGGCGCATGTGCTTTGTAGCCACCTTCGAAGATTGAAGTGGAAAGACTCTTATCTGTTACCAAGGAGAAGGTGGTGTAAAAATCTTCATCATCAGTAGGGGGCAGGTTAGAGTCAAAGGTTTCCCCTGAGCCATACCCAGATATCACCAAGCCATCATCATCACAACCATCGCTGCCTTGGTCCGACAAGCAAGGTAACCCCGCCTCAGAGGTCATGGACAGGGAATCTTTGGTGGTCTCAATAATGGTGAGGAGGGGGCGGAAGGTAGGGGGGAGTGTAATGGAGGGTACACGTGTAGCAATAGGAGGGGTAGCTAAAGGGTCTTCTACAAGAAGAGGAATAACTAATTCACCTCCTGGGATTGAAAAGAAAAAAAGACATAATTAGTACAGGATAAACACAGTTCATCGTCACTCTAATGAGGGCAGGGCAGAGGCTATGCCTCGGAAATGGCTATGAGGTGACCTGACTCTCCATAACTGGTACTTTTGACTATCGCCTTGTTCTTTCAGGCTGACACAGAACCAATTATACGCCTCTGCACACCCAAAATTTGGAACCGTGGAAATAAGTGTCTTAGATTTTTAAAGATACTCTCAAGTGATTTATGGTGACAAAATTCAAACATGCTGGTTCTAGGATCTGCTGGTGAGATGACTTTTAGTTAATCACGTTCTTAGATGTACTACCAAGACTTCATGTATGGTTGTATATACATACACAGTGAGCTTTATTTATGGATGTATCAACCAACATGCATGTACCATTTCTCTATGGCTTCGTAGTTACTTTCCTGAGAGAGGATGGCTAGTGTTTGAGCATCTGCTAACAAATATGTCCGTTGTTGAAGTACCCTCCTCCATCAGTGACAAAGCCAGGCTGGGATTTGCAGCAGGTTTAATACTGCACAGTCCAGGGACGTTTCAGAGAGTCAAACCTTCAAGTTGACACTTTACCAAGATTCTTCCTATCAAGATCCATTCCTAGAACTCTTCCACTCAGCATCCCTCACCACGCATCTTTAAACACCAGCCAGGTTTCAGAAACACGACATTTGTGCCACCCAGGTATGTTAAAAAGAAGGCCTGGCAGCAAACACAGTAAAAACCTTTGACTGCCTTCCTCCCTAGCCAGTAATTGTGTTACCCAGAAAGAGACAGGTCAGGGAGATGCTCGTGTGAGTTCCGAGAATCATTCAGAAGGGGAAGGACGACAGAAAGTGGCATGACTATTTCTCACCTAAACAGTGTTATTTTTTCAAGGGGAAGAAGTAAAACAAGCATCTTCCCAAGAGCTTCAAGATGTCTGTGGTCTGGGGTCTCAACTTGAGTTTCTAGTCTAACGCTCAGAGTTTGAACTGATGGAGCAAAATGATCTTTGCAGGGTTTTCAGAGCCCCAGGTTTCCTTTGCTAGACTAGTATGCCTATTTTTTTTCTTTTTAACATTGTGAACATATATAATTCATATACCTTGTGACTTAGTTAATACATAATTTACACACTTTTGCTAGTTTTTATAAATGGGATTTGGAGCACAATTCCCTAAAGGAAAGATAGCCCTAAAATCTAATCCTGCACGAACTATTTTTCTTATATTCCTAGTGGTGGGGAGAGGGGAGTGTGCGCTACATTCAAGGTGATCTCGGAAGGGGGGAGTGTTTAAATGGAGGCTCACAGCCGAAGGAAAGAAGGGCAACTTTACTTTCCAGATGTTTTTTTCCCTCTCTTCCTGTGTGTGTGTGTATGTGTGTGTGTGTGTGTGTGTGCGCGCGCGCGCCTGCGTGCATGTGTGTGTGTGTGCCTGCGTGCATGTGTGTGTGTGTGTGTGTGTGTGTGTGTGTGTGTATGAATGAGGGCACAAATATGCCAAAGCCTGTGTGTTTTAGAAACGTTTGTGGATTTCTGTATTTTTGAGGCAGAATTTGTTTTTGTTTTGTTTTGTTTGTTGTTGTTGGCTGCTGTGTGTACTCTAGGCTAGCAGGTCCTCAAGCTTCCAGGTGACTCCCCTGTCCCATCTCCACTTGTTGCAGTGCACAGATGACAATGTAAGACACCAGCTGTGTGGGTTCTGGGGTCAGACTTGTGAACCAAGTGCTCCTACCTGCTGCCCTATGGCTAGACTTCGGCTCCGTGTAATCTGGGTTAACTAGAACAAAGGTTCAATGTGTAGCTTCATTACCAACATAAAATCAGAGTTGTTTGTTCCTTGAGGTCAGATCAAAAATATACCTCTTAAGCAAGGTAGGAAATTGGATTGAGGAGGAAGAACATCTGACTTGTTGGGAAGTAATTCACTTAAATCATAAATGCAAACGCCTGCCCTTCTGGGAATCAAGGTCTCCATCTTCATCCTTCCCAGAGGGCATTCATTTGTCCTTTGACAGAACCACCTGTAGCACCCACCTGAAGACTTAAATTTGACTTGTTTGTTTTCTCTTCAACCCTTGCTAAAGCTTCACGGTGTTGTTTAAAATTTACAAAACCTGTTCACCTTCCAGTTGAATCAATCTATTCTCCTTTGCTATCCTCTTCTCATCCAACAGCCCAGCAAGCACTGCTGATTTCAAAACAAAGTCAAACTTCACCTTTTCCCAATGGTACAGACAGAGGGTTCTAAGGCTTGCTAATGGAGAGTCTCTAATAGGCTGCTGAGTTCCAAAGTGAAGTGAGAGCAATTAGTTTTTACAACAAAATGATGGGTATTGTATCCCAAGTAAGATGCATCTTTCAAAATCATCCAACTTTCCTTTTTTGCAATGCTTGTGTTACTAACCCTGATTGAGGTGATAAGACATTAGAAAGGATGCCCTCTGCCAGGAAAAATTGAAGCCAAAATATTCTGATTTCTACTCGCTTCAAATCATAGAAGCTTTTTCAATCTTCTCACTTGGCCTTGCCAGGAACTGGAAGACTGCCTGGAGTCTGAAATCAAGCTGCTTGCATGGGAGGCCCATTATTACAAGTGGGAATTAGAACAGGAAAAAAACTTTCAGGTAACTGTGGACATGAGAACTACCTGGAGTATACACAAGTTGGGTGTATAATTGAGTTTATATATTCCATTACTTACTTAATTTTTTTTATCTAATGTATGTGAGTATGCATGTGTGATTGTATGTATAGCATATTCATGTATATGGAAGTGTATGTACAATGTCTTCTACAACTGTCTGCCTTATTTCTCTGAGGTAGATCCTATTCCTGAAACTGGAGCTCATTGGTCCCCTACTAGGATGGCAACCAGCAAGCCCCAGGGACCATCCTGTCTCAGCTCCCCACAGTGCTGAGGTTAGAGGCACACACGGGACCTTTTCCAGCTTGTTGGTATCTGAAGTTGGCTCCGCAAAAACTGTGAGCCCTGGCCCAACTCCCTAGCTCTGCAATCAATTTTCATATGAAATGTTGTCTTGAGGAATTAAAATAAATACAGTATATAGTTAGCTCTCTGTATTTATGAACTCCGCAGTCAAGGATTCGAATGACTGCAGATAGGAAATGCACCCTTTCCCCCCAAACTGTCTGCACGGAACGTGTACAGAATAAATAGTATCCCAATCATTTCTACAGAATATACATTGTATTTGCTATTAGGACTAATCCAGATAAGATTTAAAGAACAAGAAAGCTATATACAGATTTGTTGCAAATTATGCCTCTTGTTTTGTTTTGAAGATTGGCTCTACATATGTTTCCTAAGCTGCTCTCAAACTTCCCCGGCTCAAGCAAAAGAGCCTCTGCCTTCCAAGCAGCCAGGAAACTAGTCACAAACTAACAGACCTGGCTGACCGTGTTGTTTTGTGTAAGGGGCTGTCTTTGTTTCCTTCCCTGTTGCTGTGATAAAATACTCCCACAGGAGCAGTTTAGAGGAGGGATTTGTTTCAGCTCAGAGTTCAAGGTTGCAGCCCACCATCCATGGAGGCACGTGCTAGCCACGTGGCAGCAGGCAAAAAACATTTGGTTCACAAGGCTGACCCCACAACAGGCAGGAGCTTCAGGGCACTGGTCACATTGCATCCGTAATCAGTAAAAATGGATGCTTGCGTTCAGTTTACTTTCTTCTTTTTACACAGTCCATGCTCCTGCCCCAGGGAATGATGATATCCACTGGGGACCAGTCTTTCTATCTCAACTAACCCAATCAAAATAATTGCTTACAAGTATGCCCAGAAGCCTGTCTGCCAGGGACATTACCACACACAGACGTTGGTGTCAGAGAGGTGATCGGAACCAACCCTCCATGTCAACTGATCCAAGGTGATAGTGTTAGGAGGGACACAATAGCTAACAACATGCCATTCCGTCCCAAAGTCTCTATAATTATAAACCTGTGTCTAAGCTTAGAAAAGTGTTCACACAATCAAGGAGTCTAAAACTAACAGACGGAGTGACATGAAACCTGGAATATATTAAAATCCTAATTTTCTCTGCTGTTTCTGGAAATTTCCTTTGGTTGAGAATAAGAACTATCTGTTTTCTTTAATGCTAGCATCTTAAAATCAGGAACATACACTTTTTTTTTTTTTTTTTGACAAGGCTGTGCTTTTCCTTAAACTAGAGAGCTCACTGGGGATATAAAAGGTCTATTTTAGCCCTGAAGGCTGCCCTGCTTTTTTGCTCTATGAGTGTATTTATAGATATATAATTCATGCCTCTAGGGCTGATATCTAGCAAAGGGTCTGTCTGCCATTGCAAAAGACAGTGTATTAAAAATTCAGTAGAGCTCTTCTGAACTGTGAGGATGTTGTTGGTGATGGTGCATGTAGTGGGTCACCAAAAAATAATAAAAATAAAATAACAGCATCAAGTTTCAGCATGGCTCCAGCCTTTGCCTCTCTGGAGACAGCTGTCTCTGAGAGGTCAGAGAAATACAAAAACAATGATTCTAAGCAGGGAACCTAGAGAGGACTCTGTGCTCCAATTAAGGGAGTTCTGTTATGTCCATTTGGATTCTTTTCTTTATCTCTGATTTGCATTATTCTAATTCACTGGCTCCATAAAGACACTCGTTTACATATCTGGAGTCATAGGAGTGAGTCCTTCCACACGCAGAGA